CGGCTTCTGCGGCCGGGAAGCCCCGGGGCTTGACGCGAGCCTTTCCGCCCTTCCTTACAAGCCGGTCCAACTTCTGACCACGTTTGCCTCGTGAAAGGAGCGCAAGACTGCCGCGGGAAGGGTCTCGTCTTCACCGGGGCGTAAAATTCACCGTGAGAAATTGCGCCCGAGGCTATTCTGCGGCGGTGCCGCCTTCTGCTGTTCTCTCCCTTCTTCTGAAGTTCCTCGCCTTCCTCGCGTTTCCTCCTAAACTTCCTGCGTCCCTCACCCGCCCCCCCTCCAACTCAACAGGCTGCGTTTAAGAGCTCCTGATCAAGCTGACGCCGAGCCCGGGAGCCGCTTTCTCGGCTGCTCGGTCGCCGGAGACTCCCCTGTGGCTGGACGAACAATGGCGGCCCTTTTCCCAACTTTTTCTTCTCTCTCCGCTCAGCGGCGGCACGACACGCAGCGCTCGGCCCGTGAGAGTTTCGGGCAAGTTGCAACACAGGAAATGTCAGATTCTGTAACATCGGTGAAAAGGCATAGAGCCGTTTAAAAAAAAAAAGAACCCCCACACAGCTTGGAATACGGAAAGTTGCAAAAAGTTAGGCGTTGCGGGGGTTTTAAAGCCATGGCTTAGACTCGGAGGTGTGGAAGGGAGCGTAGAGATCACCTGTTCCACTCCCTGTTCGGTTGCAGAAGCTACTAGGGCGTCTCTGACAGGTGACCATCCATCCCCTTTTGAAGACATCTACCGAAGGTGAGAGGGACAGTCTGGTGTAGTGGTGAAGGCACTGCATTAGAAACCAGGAGACTGAGTTCTAGCCCTGCCTTAGGCACGAAGCCAGCTGGCTGCCCTTGGGCCGGTCACTATCTCTCAGCCCTGGGAAGAAGGCAAGGGCAAACCACTTCCGAAAATCTTGCCAAGAAAACTGCAGGGATTAGCCCAGGCGGTCACCAGGAGTCAACCCTGACTCAAAGGCATTTAAAAATAATTCTAATAAGGGTGAACTCACCATTCTGGCAGTCTTTTCCGTCGGCTAACTTCTCATGAAATTCTTCCTGACATTTAAACCTGAATCTGCTACCTTGTCATTTGGGACATTGGTTCTGGTCCTGCCCTTTGGGGCAACAGAGGATAAGTCAACCCTTCTCTGTAGAACAGCCCTTCAGTTGTCATATCTCCCTTCAGCCTTCTATAGGTTAAATATAAATAAAGATAGGCCCAATAGTTTAACTATTCTTCACAGAGCTTAGTTTCCAATGTCTTCACCATCTGAACCTGCTCCAATTTATCACTATCCCTTATAAAATGTGGTGGCCAGAACTGGACCGCACTGAGCCTGACCAGGGCAAAGTAGCATGGAACAGCTGCTTCCTATGACCGGGTCTCTAGGTTCCCGTGAATGCGCCCCAAATAGCATTTGCCTTTTCAGCCGCTGCACCACCCTTCTGGCTCATGTTTAGCTTGTGGTTGACAAGTCAGTGATGAAACTCTGTTCAGTGGCCTAGAGTTTCATTCGTTCCAGTCTTACGCAAGGTTACCCAGACGGAAGATTAGTGATATTCAGTGTGGGTGACTGCTAGGTAAGCATGCGAAGAAACAAAAGTTAAGTTTAACTTTGCTTGGAATGTACACCACTGATTTCAGCTGAACTTAGTGCTCACCCACATGTCTTACTTGCCCACTTGGGGAGATGACCCATGAGCCATTTCGCAAAAACAGGAAGGTGCAAGGTCAGCGTTAGTGCGTGTCGAGAGTCCTGTGGCATCTTCAGACTTCTGCTGGTGCGATGATGCTGCCAATTCTTCTGCTGTGCTTTTCATTGTAGGCAAGTGCTTCCAACTGTGAACGGGGTACTGTGGCAGGAACAGCCCTTCCCTCTGGCCACTGGTCACTGCCCTCCATGGCCATTTTGGGCTGGCTACCTAACTTCTGCAGGGAGCATCTCACACTAAGATTAACGAACCTCTGCTTTGTTTTTGTTTTTTTAATTTCACCAATCAACATGTTAATGGTGAGCTATTCTCTCTTGTTTTAATGCTCCCTGGATAGATTGGTGAAAAGGCTTGTGTTTGTTTGCTTTAGGGTCTAGCATGTTGTATGAACATATCCATTAAGTTGTGTAAAAAGCACAATGGCGGGCTATTTTCTCTGGCCAATTTCTTATTAATGTGTAAGATGTTCCTTCAGATTTCTGTTGGATTTTGAGTTTGTAATGATTATCCATACCACTAGAATTTTAAATAAAGCAGTAACAACAGCAAAGGTCAAAGAATGCTGTTTAAATGCCCAGGAGTTTCATAGATTAATAAAAGTGGAAGTCCTTATGTTGATATTCAGATGAAGAAATCCTTCGCTTGTGAAAATAATTACATGAGCCTTGCAATCTTAAATGAGAACACTGAATCACATGGAAAATGACATTGTGATTTCCAGACTGGCAAAATATTTTTCAACAGTGTATTTATCTGATCTTAGACCTCTTTCTTTCTTTCTTTCTTTCTTTCTTTCTTTCTTTCTTTCTTTCTTTCTTTCTTTCTTTCTTTAAATTATAACTCTATTTTCAGTTCCTTCGCAGCTTCACTTTTGACATCGTTTGTCATATGGCAGCACGCTGCCAATTTTTCTAACGAGGCTTTCTGAAGACATAATTTGAAATGGAGCTACTGAGTTGCTATAGAAGCCACCGAACTCCTGCCAGAAAAAAAAAGTGTTTTGAAGGCAACAATAAGGCCTTGATTTCAATGTGGGTGGGGGGATATTGTGCTCTATACAATGCCAGATAGATATCAAAAGAATTAATATGCATGACTGAAATCCAGGGTCAGATCTGAGTTACCCACAGAGGATATGATTGAACTGCCAACAGAAAAAAGACACTTAGGCCATTAATCATATTAGCTGCAATTAGTTGGTTGATTATATTTCCAGATGACTAAAAACAATAGTTTTGAAGCAAGTAGGCTAGCTATATGGACCTGACCAAATGCCATCTAGAAGAGGCATTTCCTTCTTTAGAAAATACATCTTTAACGGCCTTCCTTGTCTAGTGGGTGGGGCAATTATCAAGCAAGTATCTAGGACCCACAGATACCTTCATTGCCACTGGACCCTTCCTGATAGCGTTGGTTCATTCGTTCATTGGTTTTGTTCCATCTGTAAGGAAGAAAGCTTTCATTGCTCTACAGGTGGTCCTCGTGTAGTCACTGCCTCGTTCAGCGACCATTCACAGTTATGAAGGTGATGAAAAAGTAACTTTACGACCAATCCTCCCATTTATGACCTTTGCAGGCCTGTAAAAACAAAGGAAAGCTGAAGTAAGATCATAAGCACAGTTGCAGTTTCACTTAGTGACTGCTCTGCTTAACGGCCGAGTTGCTAGTCCCAATTGTGGTTGCTAAAGAAGGACTATCTGTATTTTTAAGAAAGCCTTATGGTCTTTTAAGGTAGGGGGGAGTCTTTAAAAAATTAAACAAGCAAACACTGCATCTGATTGAAACATGCTTAGGGAAAAAGAAAGTTTAGGCAAGGATACCCTCAAATCTGAAACCAATTTGTGGTGATGGGGCAGGGTTTTTCTCAGTATCCCCAGCTTCCCTTTGGTCCAATAAGCAGGTATAATGAGCTGTGAAGATAACCTTGAGGAACAGGAGGAAGAGGTCCAACCAAGGCAATGGTCAGATAAAAGAAATCTGAATCCAAAGTGGGAATGGAATTGGAGAAAACATCTCAGAGAAGCCCCTCCCTAGGTCACACAAGAGGGAGGGAGGAGCACATTCAGACTTTCAAGTTTCTGTTATTGCAATCCTATAATAAAAGTAGTTTCTAGTCTGGTCTACCTTGAAGGGCTGACAGCAGGCTGTACTTTGAGAGAGCGCATAATCAGTTTGGCTTTGAAGACTACAATCATACCTCTGACTTTTCAAATTGGCCAAATTCATACCTCATTGGGGTACCTTCTGTGAAATGGGCACTGCAGTAGGAAAATGTGGATCCAGAAGGATCAGCGGCATCTGTGAGGTGGGGTCAATAAAGGCAAGATGGCAGCCACCGCTGCCCAGTTGAAGCCCTGCCCCTTTTTTCCATGTTTTATATAAAAAAGGACAGGCCTTCAATTGTATGGTGCCCCTCCCCCCGCTATCTTGTTTTTTTGAACCTCCCCCATGAATGCCCCTGAAAAGGATGGTTTTGTGTTTTGGAAATACGATCCTTCTAATCTTCTGGGAAATATTGACTGACTAGCCACATCCAATACAGGTAGTCCTCAACTTACAACCATTCATTCAACAACTGTTTGAAGTTACGGGGACGCTGAATGAAGGGACTTCAACCAGTCCACGAAGTTACAGCCATTGCAATGCAGTCACATGATCAAACTTTGGGTGCTTGGCATCCTACTGGCACTTACAACTGCAGGGGTGCTTCAACTCCCCCCACTCACCTATCTCTTGCCC